CCTGAAAGTGGGGAAATGGGAGCAAGCAGGTGGGCTTAGAGAGAGCTTCCGGGAGTCATGTGTCATTTAAACAAGAGACTGATATTTATACTCGCTTTGTACAAAACACACACAGCTATATTTGTTCATACTTTATTGAAGCCGAGAATAAAAGAATTCATGGTTTTTTTCACACATGTAACTACAATAAGAACCAGAAGCCTGAAAGTGGGGAAATGGGAGCAAGCAGGTGGGCTTAGAGAGAGCTTCCGGGAGTCATGTGTCATTTAAACAAGAGACTGATATTTATACTCGCTTTGTACAAAACACACACAGCTATATTTGTTCATACTTTATTGAAGCCGAGAATAAAAGAATTCATGGTTTTTTTCACACATGTAACTACAATAAGAACCAGAAGATGGGCTGTTTGAACTTAAAAAAAAAAAACAAAAAAAACTCCACACTAAGCCACTAGTAAAGTTTTCTCAATGAGTGTACAATGTTTGGTGTGCATACTTCAGTGCTCAGACAACAAGGGGGATTTCCCAAAGAGGGGAATGGAGTTGGGGAGAAAGTATCTGTTTTTCTGTCCTTCCAGATCTGCTTTTCCTTCTGCTGGTTGCTTCAGCGAGGAGGTATAGATGACAGAGGGCACTGCACTTTCCAGTGTCTCCTGCAGCAGAATGGGAGATACTACAATATCTGGGTTTAATGCAGGTTGCATTTCCCTAAACCGGGACCCTCTGGTCCAACAACATCCGTGGTCCAGCAGGACCATGGATGTGGAGGTCTGGTAGTGCCACTGGGGGCCCGCCAGCACCACCGCCGGGAGACTGGTGGCATGGCTGGAGCCCCACAGGGCCAGCAGTGGCTGGAGAGTCCCGGCCAGGCCAGCAGCATCTGGGCCCAAGCCCGGCAGTAGCAGCAGCCAGAGCCTGGTGGCAGAGAGGCCAGGACCTAGGCAAGAAGGAGTCGACAACAAGAAGGGACAGCGGGCTGGCAACCTGATGGCAGGGGACCTCCTTTGGTCTGGCAAATTCACTGGTCAGGTCCCAAGGGTGCCCACCCAGGAAGGCCCAACCTTTAGTGGTTTTCCTCCTTCCCTGCAGGTATTTTCTGATGTCATGGGAGGGAGTCAGTAGGGTGACAAAGTCAAAGGACAAGAGAAGTCATCAGCCAATTGGTGGAACCGCCAATTCTAGTCCCAGAATGTGATTGAGTAGACAGGTGCCTATAGGCCAGATATAACAAAAGAGTTTTCATCCCCCCAAATATTTAAAATATGGGTGTCTGAAAGTTTCGGGAGGAGAGTATGGGAAGGATTGGAGCAGAAAGAATCATTTGCAAAAGACAAGGGTTAACAAGCTTAGTGTGCGTGATGGGTGTTGCATGGTGCTTCTGTTTCTCTCATTTCTGGTACAGTAGACAAAAGTCCCTGCCTACATTCTACTCCAGAGCAACACTAGCCAGTGCTAGAAGCTAGAATTTTTGAACTTGCAACAGCAATTACATCTCGTGCATCAAAGAGCTTAATCCAAGAACATTTGTCACACAGGCGGTTTTTCATTACTTGAAGATGAACTGCACAGGTTTGCTCAAAGTTAACAGAGTGCAAAACTTATTTATATGATTGCACTAAAGGAATTAAGCATGTGGCTATTACAAAATGTAATTGGTGCTGTATGTTAATATAATTATCACTATCCTTGAGAAATCTGAGTTGCCAATTGCATAGTTTTTCTGGAAGCTAATGTAATTACGGCTGCCATGAGCAAAGGAAATGAAAACAAGAATTTGGACTAGAATGATTCTTTCAACCTCCTGTCTATAATGGTTCTCATGTTACTTATTTTGGCAGAGAATCCTAGCAATCTGTCATTTAGATTTCTCAGTATCTTTAGAGGGTTGTATAATTGTCTCCAGTATTCAATTCTTTTAAAACAATTTATTTTTTCTACAAATCCTATAAAAGCATTGGGGAGACTTTTTAAAATTCCAAAGTTTCTCCCAACTTCATTAACATACTTGTATGTCTCGCCTAAGCAAATATTACCCGAGTTCAAATGCAGAGGTGTTTGTGCACACAGCTGTAAACATGGGAGGAGTTTAGTAAAATGCAATGCTGGAGGAGGTCATTTGTATGTCATTAATCAAAATGTTCCCCCCTTCATTGATTTGGCAACAGCACTAGTGTTAAGAGTTCTCTGTGGAAAAATAGAAAGAGTTAGGGAATTCTTGGGGTGGGGGCGGTGCCACAAATGTCTTTGTAAGCTAAAATATGGAACATTCACTGACCCTTTAGTTTCCTTACCTCTGTTGTGTTCCATCTTCTCTCTTTTTACTGATGAAGGCGGGGAAAAATTTGAAGCTATTAGCTGTACAAATTTACATTAAAATACAAAATCTATTCTATATTGTGGGAACAAAAAACAGGACTATGTAGCACTTTAAAGACTAACAAGATGGTTTATTAGGTGATGAGCTTTCGTGGGCCAGACCCACTTCCTCAGATCAAATAGTGGAAGAAAATTGGCACAACAATTTTGTGACAATTTTCTTCCACTATTTGATCTAAGGAAGTGGGTCTGGCCCACGAAAGCTCATCACCTAATAAACCATCTTGTTAGTCTTCAAAGTGCTACATAGTCCTGTTTTTTGTTCCTGCTACACCAGACTAACCCGGCTACATTTCTATCTCTATTCTATATTGTGTTTGAACTGCAGCATCTCTCTTGTTGTGAGCCCAGCCTCTTAATCCAGGATCTATAACATCTATTGAAGAGCTCAGATTCTGTAATAACTAGAGATGTGCCCAAACTGAAAACCCATATCAGAGCGTAATGAAGTTTGGAAGAGCTGGACTTTACCACTCGCTCTTATCGCTAAATCCAAACTCACAAGTACCTGAAGTCCACATCTGGATCTAGAATTAAATGCCTGGGGTTGCCATCTATGAACCGCCATCAAAGCCAGTTATTGGTCAATAGAGCTAAGTATGGGGACAAAACTTTAGAAGGCAAAACCTTAAAAGTTTCTAAGAAACTAGGGAATTTTTCCCCATCAAAAGTTCTCCAATTTAAAGGCACGGCAGTTTGCACATCAAAATCAATAGTTTGTTTTTAAAATATCTGCATAAATTTCAAACAATATTAAATAGCACTATATTTTAAATGTTAGAGTATGTGCAATGATCAAGAGGGAGTATATTTGTCTACTGTATGTGTAGGGCTTCCAGCAACAGCTTATCTGAATGCTATCAAAAATAATTTTTCAATTTATGTAAAAAAGCTCTCCAGTGATGTTAACTTGGACACTGGTTTTGAGAGGTTTCAGTTTATACACACATCATCATCATCATCTCCTTGAAATAAATGAGAACAATACAGGATATGGTTAAGAAAAACTTGTTTTCCTAAGACACGTAGCCAAGCCACGACTGTGCTTTGTACCTAGAAGTCTGTTTTGTCCATTTTGATCTTGAAATGTAGTAGTGTTTCTTTAAAAGTATTTTCTTTACTGTTCCATTACTCATATAATGAATTACACGAATATAAATGAAATACTTTGCATTTCCTTAGTGTCTTTAATAAGGTTTTTTTGATAAAGGCTTGTCTGCACTTATTTGTAATCATATTTGACTACATTAACTAATGAGATTGCAAATTGTAGTGCAGAGAAGCCCTTAATAAAGGCATTGAATAAAAGCAAAGTGTTGTTTATAGTGAAACACAACTAGTGAGGAATGTTTGTTCTTGTTCACTTAAAATCTACAAGTACATTTAAGATGTCTTAAAACATGATTATATACTGTACAGTAGACAAACTCTAAGAGAAGGTCAAAACTATATAAATATCAAAAGAGTCTCCTAGCATCCCATTTTAGTCTTCCATTCTTGCAGGTAGTGATCAGTCAGTATAATTGTAATAGTAGGTAGCTTCAATCCACTCCATTTTCAACCAGTGCACCCAGGTTTTTACATGTTAATGTAGCTGACCAGTGTTAGAATACTTCTAAAGTGTCACAAGTCTTTCCAAGTGCTCAGCTACCTCCCTTCCAGAGATTATGCCTTGTCCTAC